AATGAACGTGATCCTGTGGTCATGCTGAAGTCACCACCCAAGCTCTCATTCACCTCAGGCTATTCCTTCCACAGTTTCTTGAGCCATGGGATATGCCAGGCCACACATATGTCTTTTCTCAGCTCCTAATGACTCTGGTTTTGCCTCCTACTGTAGCTTCCGTGGTTCAAACACTCGCCCTCAGTCCTGTCATCGATGGAGACTTCCTCCCAGACATGCCAGAGAACCTCTTTGCCAACGCTGCTGACATTGACTACATTGCTGGGGTCAATGACATGGATGGACACATCTTTGCTGGCATTGATTTACCTGCTATCAACCGCCCACTTGTGAAAATCACTGCGTAAGTGAAGGATGCTCTTTAACCCTTAAGAGGAGGAACCTTACCTTTAATGTAGCCCCCGAACTCCAAGGACTTAGACCTGAGTGGACAGGGTGCTACCTTCAAAACGGATGTCACTCCAAGCCAGGGCGCCTAGGGCATATGATGCCAAGTCCAGAGCCTCCAAGAGAAAGGACCAGCTAGTGGGGAAGCCTCCCCATATACCTTTAAGGTGCTCCTGAACTCAGCACCAGCGATAGGCTTGGCAGCCCTGATGCTCCCTGTCCAGAGCAGGTACATGCCAGACATGCTGGGCGCCCGCCCCGTAAGGCTCCTGTTTGCGGACAAAAGGAGCTTGTGGCCAATTTGGCCCCAAGCTGTTCTGCTGAGAAAGCTGGGAAGCACATGCCCGCCATCTAAGACCTGGAACGACATCACTGGCTTTTACTCCACCAAACTGTGTTGCTAACCACAGCGTTGGATGTGAACATCAACGGGAGCTGGGATCTGTTTCCATGAGCCCTGCCCCACTTGAAGCTGCAGGTCTGTAATTAGTTGACGCTACTTGTCTTTTCAGGGATGAGGTCTATAATTTGGTCAAAGGACTTACTGTGGATAGGGGTGAACGCGGAGCCAATGCAACATACAATCTCTACACGCAAGCATGGGGCGACAAGCCGGACCAGGAGCTCATGAAGAAGACAGTGGTGGACCTGATTACTGACTACATCTTCCTGATTCCCACACAGTGGGCACTGAATCTGCACCTGCAGAATGCCCGGTGAGCAGCTCAGCCCTGGCAGGAGCCCAAAGCCCGCCTGGGGGCCGAAACGCTGCGTTGCGTGCACAGGGGGCTGAGGAGCACGTTAAGAGGGCTGAACTTGAAGGAGGCAGGCTTTTTGGTACCGAGTACACACTTACATGTGGCTCATACAAACACTATTTCTCTAATGCTGCAAGGGAGTCATGCTAGGAACTTCTTTTAAATTCCCATTAAACCAAGTTTTTGCTTC